AGATTAGAATTCAGTCTTAATTGGATAATTACCGTAATGAGGGCGGTAACAAGAAGTTACCCCTACGCGAAAGATTAATCGCTCTCCCAAACCCAGACCATCCGACAGTAACAATGTAATGCAAGATGGATATTGTTATTGTTGGGTTTCTTCAGAAGGCATTTTCATCAGAGAAGCAATTATACAGGAAGCAGATGAAACAGCATACTTGTCAGTGAGCAGTGAGAATGTAGTAATGTGATGAGCACACAGTTGAACGCAATAGGACGGCGCAATAAAAAAAAATATTATGAATAAAAAATGTTTACGATCAGCTAAAAAGACGTAAGATTAATTATACAATACTTTATTAGACGCAACTAGAGCGAGTGACAAGTGTGTCGCTATTACGAATCTAAAACTAAAGCTCGACGTAACCACCAGCATGCTGTAGCGAGCCAATACATTATGGGTTTGTTTGCTTTTCTTTCGATATCATCAATTTACATGAAAGATCAAAACAATTTACAAGTGCCAATTCATAAAGCCACAGCGATTTGCAGATTGAGGTTGCGAATTGCACCGTCAGTAGAAGTTTAGTTGGCGCGCAAAAGAGTGCGATAAATCTGTTCGGGTCCGCATCAACGAATAGCTTGTTTGTATTACCAACGAGCTGTTTGCGTACTTGCATTATAATCGTTCCAAGTTACTGGAGTTTTCTTTCTGACACGTAGAAATAAAAGAATGATCTTAAGTTACGTTCTTGAGGAACAATGCTAGACGTTTTCATGCTAAGCAGGATTCTCATTCCGACAACTCCCACTTTTCTAGTTGCATCTCGCTATGTAATCGCAGAAGAACTTTGTGTGGCTACAAAGTTGGTTAGGCAAATCAAAATATTTGGGTGAAAAACATCATCTTCACTGAATGAAAGTTTCTGTCGCATTTGTGTTGAGGCACCAGCGCATGAGCTTACAGCCCGAGATTAAATTTGAGTTGTCCCAAAGGTATTTCAATTGACTAAATCGCGTAGAACGTTCAAATTTTGTAATGGTTAACACTCCTCATTGGCATCAAACTGCTTATAGCAAGATTGTCCCATCGCTCACATTGTTCTTGCAGGTATGAAGTTGCAATTGCAAATAGTTAAATTCAAATAACTGCCAAAACGTAATAGGAAGCTCAAGATGTGACTGGAAAGGTTACGGTTTACCATTTTTGATTTACATTGTAATTGCTACCTTATTCGATTGTTGATCTTCATCACGTGTCAACTTTGTTAACTGTTGTGAGTAAATTCGCTGACTCACTAATAAAATTCCGTAGAAAAGGATCGAATACATATTCAGACTGTTAAGATACCCGTCGCGTGAGTTTTGTGGACTTTCTCAATTCCAACTTAGATGGAATCAGTTGCCAAGTCAAAGCATACTGTGCACCCAGACACTCGATTCGCCACTCTTGTATAGCAATTTCCGTTATGCGCCCGAACTTGTGCGTATCTGTACTGTAAGCTATTATATAGATTGTACGAGAGAAGGATAGTTTGTAAATTTAAGCCTCTACCTCATCGAATATGACAAGAAGCAGATTCTTGTGATTAGCTCTAGTCGCCGGGTGTTCCCACTGTAATTGATCTCATAATCGCCTTAACGAGAAGTCAACATCCTTGTGTTCGCAAATGGAGCACTACTGTCGAATGCATCCGCGCTCAAGGCAAGAAATTCCACCTAATAGGAGGATGAGAATTTGTTGTAACCTAGAATTATGAACCCTGAAGAAAGAACTCTCGAAATAAAGTCTTACGAACAGTCGCTAAATCTCAAAGGCAGTAACGGCATTAGCTTTCTCATGCATTTAAGTAAATGACGTTCTGTTGGTTAACATTCTCAAAACTCAGTTCTAGCTTTACACATACCTTTGCTTATTGGATACTAAGAATAAGTATAGTATGATCAAATTTATTATAAACGCTTTTGGTCTAACTGACAGTTCCAAATGAGAAACATAGTAAAACTAAACAGGAACAACAAAATTGATGTACTGTATTATAATAGGACTGTCTTAAAAATAGTGCAGTCAAAGTTTCTTTGCTCCTACAACCAGATAAATGACATCTAATAGCTATTCTGTTTTAACCAGAGACAGCAATCTCATGACTCCTGAAACTTTAATAAAAAATATTAATTGCCATAGTTTACGAAGAAACAGCAAAGTACAAAAATTTTTTATCCACATTGACACAAACTATTATTACATAGCCCAAAAAGTTATGCCATGGGAAAAAACTAAAGATTAGGAACCAACCAGAAAAACGATGACTCAAGTCGAATGTAGCCTCATAATTAATTAAACTATCTTGGTAACAGCTTCGGAAACAGAACGGCATTAGGAAGACAAGGTAAATAAGATGCTTCCATTACTAAGCCACCGTTCGCTTCTTCTGCATATACCCAAAATGGATGATTTTACGATAAGAAGTGTTGTAATAATAAAGTTTATTGTAAACGCAGAAACATCAGATATTATATAATTATGTTTGTCAACTAAAAATTTAATGCGCAGTTGCAGCGAAAGGCTCTAGAATACGCGAATTGTACTTGTTGTAATAAATCAAATATATACGGTATAACGTGTATGTGCAAATAAAGAAGGACTAATAGATAGATAACAACGTTACATTAAAGGGGGTTTTGGCCCTACCAATACGATTCGTACACATTTTGAATTTGTACTCATAACTATTATAAATGTTATCTGATGCATCACTTATTATGGTTGCCATCTATAACCGTAACGCCGCCGCCAACAATACAAACATTAAACCAACAACCTGTTTATTGTGGTACTTGTTATATGTATGTGCATTGTGATGACAGTGGAATACTTTATAATACTTTATGGTTCCCTGTTTCGACAGGCTTTTGCTGTATTTGTAGCACAACAGGAAATCCGCGTGTAAAACTACGCGCTCGCATAAAGCAAACATGTATAAGCCAATCAACAAAACGGTTTAATGTCTATATTATGTAAATCGGTTACAACCGATTACTAATAATAAGATTCATGATAGTCTCCAACCTGGATTGTTACTTATAGGATCATCAGTTTCGAGAATGAACTTTATAAGCATAGTATCTCACGTGTATTAATCAGTTGAAACCCTGTTCAAGAGCAACAAACATGCATATGTGCTTTTTTGTTTATAATCAACCGAGTATAGTATCGTAATACGCTGACACAACTAATGTCTGTGTTGCATTACTATCAGTTTAGCCACACAGATGAGCCAACGCGATGCAAAAGAATAATTGATTCCATATGACGGTAGATCATCTGATGCGAAAGAGCTTCAATCCGGTCGAGCAAGGCTTTTCTTCTCCCTCCCCCCCTTTTCTCCCTCTTTCCCCCTCTTTCCCCCTCTTTCCCCCCTCCCTCAATGTTGCAGCTTGTATTCAGAAACCAATGCATCCAATGTGTCATAAATGTTATGCCTAATTCTGTTTTTTCTTTTTGATTAAAAAATAGAATGCAGAAGTAACATTTGAATAACACCGGCATCTTTATGTGTTAGCCTTATTGTCATACCAATAATAAACATGCGTTTATGCATTTATACGCCTGTACTCAATGTTTATGCCCATCGTCTCTTTGCTACTACTACGCAGTTTCTTTAAAACTTGTTTGCCCTGTCGCACATGGCGAGGGATTGTTCGTGATTGGTTAACCAATGAAACCATCAATGGAAACCAATAATTGTAACTTGCTTGCAAAATTTAGGTATTGTTCGTTGCCAAAAAATTTAAGGCGATCAGCTTAGTCGGGCCGATCGTCGCCATTTCGGAGAATTAGGTTCCGGGTTCATCTTTAAAGTTGATTTGCAGTTGTTTATTTTCATAGCGCAAAACCAATCGATTAATCCGTTCACAACGTGCATAGGGGTGCATGTATATTTTAGTATTTCCAAGGGGTAACTTCTTGTCGATAGGCTGAGTATACACACACGTTACATTGTCAGACTGTATTATGTCTAATAAGCTAACAATTGTAAGCAAATGTAATATGGACATTTAATATCTATACATATTTGACTTGCTGCGTGTCAATCATTTCGCTCGCGAATACTCAGTCCATGTAGTGTATTGTATGACTGCATCCCCTTAAAATCGGGGGGAAGCTTACATGGTTTAATTAGCGCAAGAATGAAGAAACAAAGAATGTTAATACATAAAAGCGCGTAGTAGCAGCAAATTTCCTCGGTATTTTACGTTTAATTTACAAAACTATCGACATTACAAATTGATTGGTCATAAGCAGGTACCTTAGTAGTATTCTTTGTATAATTGTTGAATTGGTTCGTACCCTGTTCTTCATCCTCTCCCCCTTCACCTCCCACCAATTTATATATGTTATTATCGTTATGCAATTACACGTGATTAGTGATATGCAAAAGTAGTAATTAGCAATAATATAGTCCGTTTGATTGATAATAGTAATAATAAATACCCAATGGTTTATGGTGTCACTTAATGTGAACTATGACAGTGTGGCTAAATTAGTACCTATATTATGCTCAGACAATTAAATCTGTCGCACAATTTTTCGAACTCTCCTCAGCGCAGGACAACTAAAAATCCTAAACATCCCACACCACACTCATTTGCTGTATCTAACAATTTAAACGTAATCATGTCTAATGAACGAGAGAAACGAGCAAGACTTAGGTATTGTACCACCCGATTACCCAATCCTATTTAATTCCGTTAAAATTATTCTTACTACTACTGTTTTCTCTACTGTAGCCATGCCTGCGATCGTTGCAGAAAAAGACACGTCAAGTGTGACGGAGACTATCCTGTTTGTGGAAATTGCAAGTCAGCTAGCGGAGAATGCAGCTACAGCCATCCTGGAAGCAAGAGGGGTTATGCAGAGACTATAGACGATAGACTGAGCAAGGTATGTGTGCAAACAAGTGAACAGTAATTATGTGCAAGAATACTAGAATGTTTACGATCTATTGTCGCCTAATAACACTTGCATCTTCGCTGCTGATAGATTGAAAAGGTACTTACACGATTTTTAGAAGGCACAGACGGTCAAGAGAACCCCCAGCCTGAAACAAATACTAACTTGATGAAAGACACGCCGGCAGCGACTACTTACCACATGGTTGTTGAACCAGACAGCAATCAGAACTTGAAGTCTATCCTAGAACAGATGTCTGCCTTAGACATTGGACAGGATTTCTTGACAAAGACCGGACAACTGCTTCAACATCCACCATCACCACCATCGCAACCATCACCACCATCGCAACCACCATCGCAACCACCATCGCAGCCTCAATCGCAACCTCAATCGCAACCGCAATCTCAATCTCAATCTCAATCTCAATCTCAACCGCAATCGCAACCGCAATCGCAACCGCAATCACAGTCGCAACCGCAAACGCAGGAGCCTGCTCTGCCTCCAATGGATAAAATCAGAGGACCAAAAGTCTTGCCGCCAAAAGACTTGGCAGATACTTTAATTCAGTCATTTTTAGATAACGGCTATTCTTTTCTTATGCCCATAATACATAAACCGACGTTTCTCAAACAGCTCAAGGACAAGAACAATCAACCTTCTTTACTATTGCTAAATGCTATATTCGCTTTGGGCAGTCTTTTATGTGACGATCCACGCACGCGGTATGAGAACAACCCTAATACAGCGGGTGAAATATTCTATCTTCGAGCGCTAGGTATGGGTTCATTGATGGGCTGGTTATTATTTGATGGTCTATTGCGTATTTACCCATTCGCTAACTCTGTTGCTTCCAACTTTGATAGAGTTGTTTGATGATTTTCTAGATGCACCCCGATTATCGACAATTCAGGTATTTAGTGCAGGCGACCGTATGTGACGATGTAAATTTAAACTGATTTTTGTTTTGCACGACTTTTCCAAACAGGCTATTCTTATTCTTTCAAATTATATTATAAAATCGGTAAGTAAATGCTCATCGATGCAGTTAATCTTCATTGCGATCACAACTATTAATAACGACAATCGCCAATTGCCAAGCAATAGTCAATATCTGACGTACGATTTACCTAGTCTTACTGATATGTTGTTTTACTACATAGGATCGTAATTCAACTCGTTTATGGATGTATATTGGAATGGCAATGACTATGTCAACCGACCTTGGGCTATATAAAGATTCTCATGATTTACCCATAAATAGAGTGGAGAAAGCGATGCGCAACCGATTATTCTGGGCAACGTTCTGCGTTGAAGTTATCTCATACGCATGCTTCAGGTATTTTATTGAATTTAATGCTTATCTTAAGCCCCTTATAGAATTATTTAAACATCCAAATACGTCTCCTCAAACAGAAAACCTCTCCCTATACGCGATTTTGTTGATACTCGACTACCATACGAAATAGAGGAAGACGGGGATGATGCAGACGAGATAGTCAGATTCATGTACCTTGCCAAACTAATGAGAATATTTGCCAACGTATTGCAATCACGTCCGTACCTCTCTCAAACACTTAATATACGCAATACTCTTCCGGCACTGGATGCTACATTAAATTCGTGGCTTTTAGGATTGCCTGAAAAACTACAATGCAGCGTACCCGCGGTGGGAGACCCTGATCCGAAGATCATTAGCCCATATGTTGCTTCTCTTCATCAAATGTACCACACCGCTCTCATACACGCACACCGGCCATACATTGGATCAGACAAATACCCAAACATCCTATCGAAAGAAATATGTCATAAATCGGCTATAATAATCACTAAATTAGGCAGCTGCTTGCCCGCTACAGAGAGAGGTACTTATTTGAGATATAATCATAGTGCATGGAGTATGATGACGGCATCAATGGTCCATATGGCAAATATGGCTGATCCAGAATTGTCTCTCCATGGAGATACATATACACAATTGACATTACATCAACTAAAGGCAATGGGTGAGAACACACGTCTAATTGGTGGGAACTGTGGCTTGGATGGGACAATAAAGGTACTAGAACAATTATATGAGGATGCCCAGAAATCTCTAGGAAGACAGGAGACGGCGAGTGAAGCGGACGAGAGCAGGAGCACGATTAGTACAAACAGTTCGAACAACTCGAGTAGCAATGACAGTAATCGTAGTTATAATTCTAGTGGTAGATATGAAGATGTGAAAACAATACCAACGCCTCCTCCATCAACCATGCCAGACTCTGGAGACACTGATATGTCGTTGCCACCGGATGCTCTCAAGACTGAAAACATGATAGATGCTAATGAGAATATATTGAGCTCAGATTCAACTTCTCCCATAATAATGATTACGAAAACCGACACCACATCTATCGCAGCAGATGCAAATACGTCACAAGTACATCCTCAAGGACAGAAAAGAGAACAGGTTAGAAGGCAATCAGCGCGACAACTGAACCAGCAACAAAATCAGCGACCACAGCGTGCTACGCCGCCAGAACAGCCACAATCACAAGCACAGGCACAATCCCAATCCCAATCCCAAGCACAATCCCAAGCACAAGCACGAGCGCGAGCGCAAGCACAAGCGCGAGCGCAAGCACAAGCACAAGCACAAGCACAAGCACAAGCACGAGCGCAAGCACAAGCCCAACCACATCCTTCTTATTCATATTCGCCTCATCTACCTCATCAATCACACAGCGCCTCGCAGGCACAACCTCAACCAAGAAGACAACAAAATTATGCTCATGCTCACTATTTATCAATAGGCCCTACTGATTTAAAGACTAACCCGACTCCGGAACCGTCTCCTCATTTCCCACAACATCACCAATACCGTGAATACTCTCAGTCGCAAGTATCCAATGCTGACATTTCCGGTCACCTTGCGAATCTTCCAGTGAGTCCGCTGGCACTCAATGGCATGGCGCCGATGTCTGAAGCACCAATTGTTCCGTCTTCGCAGGACTTTATCACTAATAACAATGGAATGGAATATTCTACTCAGAGAAACGATCCGTATTGGGAAGTAAATTGGAACATGGAAGATAATCATTCCCAGGCGTCCAATACAGTTCAGCATGAAATAAATTATTCATACAATGGTTATAATCCGACATCTCCGCCTATAACTTCGCCTCCAGGAGCTACCAGTACATTGGCGGCAATGGCGACGGTGGCTAATCATTCTCAAATTCATCCTGACCAGGCCTTCTTGATCTCTGACTCTGCCGGAGGACCAATGCTGTTGAGCAATTCTATCGTGATGAGTATAGATGGACACGCACATATAATGGGAAATTCACCAGAAAATGCAAATAGAAGGATAAATAATCAGAGTGGCGAAAGAAATCCGAATGGGAGAGGATTCGGAACTGGGCATAATGGAGGGATAGATAGTTTTTCGAATCCAATGCCGAATGGACAAATACAGCACATACAGTCGAATGGACAAATACAGCATGTACAATATCATAGTATTGTTACACAAAGTGAAATCGAGACAAGTGACCAGGGATGGAATTACAAATAAATATAAATATATAGAGAGAGAGCGTATGTGATTCATAGTAATTTAACCGTTTTTTAGCAGATTGTTTTGCAGTGAATTCTAATATGGGAATCCTGTATTAGTATACCGATAATTCTTGATACGTTCGTTCATGTATTTATGTATAAATTGCTCGTATATATTCAACTTGTTCTCTTAATGTTTGTATATTTTGGTTCCTTGGTATTCTGTATTTATGTTAATAGCGTAAAACTTCTTTTTTAGTAACATTTCTCCTAACAAATCAAAAAAAGTGGCGCTATTTTCTTATAGTGCAGGCGTTGCAGTGTGTATTGGTATTATGAGCGTAGCTTGCTTCATTCATTTGAAGATGACAGTCGAAAAGTGGGAGGGATCATGGACTTTATTGATTTGGGCGTGGAATTAACATCTGTATAAAATACACGTTGAATTATTGTTAATTAAAAAAAAATATAAAAATATAAACCAATGTTGGATAAATAATAAACCATACATACTCAGAAACGTAATGGCAATACAACAATTGCCTTTTTTAATTGTTATTACCACTATTATCACTATCGCTTCCCTTCTTTCTTTTGAGAATACCAGCGCATGCGGCATCTTCCTTATCTCTGTGTTTCTCACAACACTTTATAAGGTTAGCTATCACACCTTGGCATCTACTTTCTTGGTAATCGTTTGCTGATAAGCATGCTTGAATGGCGCACGCAGCAGAGTGACAAGGTGATGAAGACTTGGTTTTCCTCATTAGTAACATCAATGTTTGAAGGTTTGTAATCAAAAAACAAACATGCAGTAGTTTCTATGTCTTGCTCCGAAATAATTGGTCGTTTCTGTTTCTTTGTGTTGTTGCCTGAAGCGGAAGTTGGACAAAAAGACGAACAAGGCAAAAGAACTGACTGATATACCGTAGTATCAAAGAAGCACGTGTTCTGATGTTTATGCTAAATCAAGGATAAATCTCATTGGCCAAAAATTCTGCACGTAGCAAAAGATTTTATTCTTTTACACGACTACCGTTCGTGCCAGGAATGTTATTGTTTCGCCATTGAATTGGTCCTTTTTTTACATTTCACAAACGAATTGCGACCAAAGAACGCGCCAAGATCGCAAGTGATGGCGATTTTTAAAATGTTCTGAGTGAGGTATCGAGAAAAACAGAACTTGGAAGCGCTGATATTACCAAACTTTGAGCCTCGTCAAATCGAAGCCAGAAACACCCAAGGCAATAATTTCCGAGTCCTTCTTGATACAGTCACAAATTTTTTGCTCTGATTCCTCCTTTTTGATCCAAAATATTACCGTAAGTCCATTTCTCGACAGGCGTGAGTAAAGTAAAAATCCATCATAGAGTGAAATGGTGTACTTGGATGCATCTCGCTTATCAACAGTAACTCTACAGAAACTTGTTATCATGATGAGTTTTTAAACAATCTCGTGATGAGATCATTCCTTTTTTTTTTTTTTACATGCGTTTGATGATGCAAAAAATGTGTTCACAGCCACACTGAGCTGCACAATTATATTATTAATAATCGATGTATAATAATTAACCCTTTTGGGCAATGTTACCATATGGTTGTCTAAATATAAATTAAGCAAGAAAAATGTTGTACAAAAGCAACCCGTTATAACGAACCCTGTTATAACAAATATCCCGTTGTAACGAAGAATTTTCAAAAACCCCATCCAATCATATAGAAATTACCCCGCTTAACCGAATTTTAATATGAAATCCTTTGTTGCCCGTATCCGAAGATTTTTTTTAGAACAAGTATAACAATTTTCCGCAGTAACCCGAATTAACCGAAGATCATCCTTTGTTAACCAATAAAAATGCAGTATAAAGACTGATAACATTTATTGCACAGGAGGAAGATAACTTGAATCTCAGCATGACCTTTTTTTCGCGTGAATTAAACAAGATAAACAAGAATTTACGCAAAACGATTAGCGATTCGAAGGTTCAAACTAATCTTGGCGACTTCTTTACAATTAATTGACCGATTTGTAATGTTTAATGCGTCGAGTAATAAAGCGAATTAATTTTTAGCTAAATGCGCATTTATTTAATATTAATTATGCTTAACCGAAGGATTCGGTATCATGATATATATAACCTTCGGTTAACACGAATGACCCCGTTATTCCGAAGACCCCGTTGTACCGAAGGAAAATTCCCGGACGGACACCTTCGTTATAACGGGGTTGCCTTTGTAGTTAAGGGCATCTATTATGATAATACTGGTGACTTTTTATAAATATAGTACGTAAAAAAACTGTTAGTTGGACAATTGTATCAGTGCAGACTACGATATCATCACTATCATAGAGATCAGTTTAATTAAATATATACGCGTGGTTATCGGACTTTTTAATCGATGAAAATTTTTACCCGAATGTTATTGTTCTTATTTACGGAAACAATCGTGACAGTCGACAATATGATGTAATAATGTGTTACACTAAGCAATATATCAATATCCGTTTATGCTTTACTATTGGTCGACAGTCGCAGACTCTCACGCTCCTTCTTGCATAGATAACGACGTTTATACTTATGAGGTCGCGTACGACAGTTCATCTAACACGCGAACATGCGTCTACTCATATACACATACATACATACATACATACATATACCCAGACGCTTCTCTCCATCGCACATGTATCGCCTCACAACAACCTCTCCTCCTCCAAAGCACAACGTTATCGAAAAGTCAATACACAACGCAACAAACCTTTGCCGCTATTACTCACATACGACACTTTGCTATACAATTCACGAACAAGTATTCAAAACACACGTAATCGATACTCATATAAACACATATATATCCAAACGCTACTCTTTTCGCGATCAGGAAAAAGACGTTTGTGATAACACATTATGGAGAAAACAAGGCATGTGGATGGTTTGACATGTTCCGTTTGGGGCCGGGTGTCGTATTCATTGAAGTATAGTTCTTTGGGTTGATGCGTCCTTTAACGTGGTTCGTTCAAACTCACTCCCATTCATAGACGTCTGGCATGTTCTGTTGGGGCTCGTACGTCCTTTAAACATCGCATCGTACAGACTCGCTCATTCATGGATAGTTTGACATGTTCCCGTTTGGGACTTGGTCGAAGTATAGTTTTTTGGGTAGCCCCGTACGTCCTTTAAACATGATTCGTTTACTCACTTCCTTGTTAAGAAATTCGTTTCTTACCTTTTTTTTTTATTATTATCTAGAACAATCGAATTAAAGCGCTATCTAAAAGTTGAATTATACAACGCAACAAACCTTTGCCACCGCTCCATACGACAGTTCACTACAAACGACGACTCGGTTTATCGACCACATAACCGGCGAAAGAGTTTGCGCAAGAACCCCTCCATGCTAGTGTATGACGACAATCTTCGATTTTGACCAGTGAAAAAGGTTTATGATGCTACATTGCATCACATGTGAACTGTTCTATTTTAGCAAACAATCTGTATGTGGCTGTACAATTTGCGAGAAACAACAAGAGGCTAATGTTCGAATCCTTAACAACATAAATCTTTTACCAAGGTATTTTACACACAAACAATCGATATTTCCTGAAGAGCAAGCCATGAAAAAATTTCGTTAATCCTTCTGCGATCAGGAAAAAGACGGGTGTCTTATTCATTGAAGTATAGCTCTTTGAGTAGCCTCGTTTGTCCTTTAAACATGATTCGTTCAGACATACTCCCGTATTAAGAAATTCGTTTCTTACTTTTTTTTTATATTACGTAGAACAATCGAAGTAGCGCAAAGGTAGAAAGCTTAGACTCTTTGGATATGCCAGTCTTTTGGATTTAATTTATTTAGGCTTGCTTGTTATTACAAAACTGTAGTGTTACGGCTAGTATATATTTTTAATGAGACAGCGATATTATCTATTACGTAGGCGTGTGTTACCAGCCCTTACTCCGGTAGCTGTACAATTAAGACTGAACTATGCTTCGAGTGACCTATAAATGATTATTCGCGCGTTTTATTACTCCCTATACGATGTAACTTCTGCTCGTATCCAAATAGTATCAACAGCAATTTAATAATCGTTGAATCAAAGGAGAATTTGATTTGATTTTTAAATTTAATTCAGAGCAATCTTCGATTTGGTATTCGACTCGTCAATATTCCTGTCAATTATTATTTATCTTATGAGTTTATCTATGGTATGAGCCTAGGTTGTGTCGATAGGTTGATGCTTTCCGCTATTCGCATCAATATCTTTCGAACATTTCCGTTCTAATCGATAGTCCGTATCGTATCAACCCTGGACACTTATAGAAAAATAAAAGTAATTTGATTTCAAAGGCTTTTTATTTCAAAAGCTTGCAATTATTTTATAAATATCAATCGGAATTAACTTGATGATTTTTGACGATGGAATTTGATCCGCATTTATATCTTTTTCGCGGTCATAATTTTCTGCGTATTTATATTTTGTGCCGTGTCAGACTTTAGGGCAACGTCTAAATTTAGAATTAATTACTCCACCGTAACAGTAGAGTGTGGCGTGCAGTAACTAGTGAAAGAAATAAATTAACAAATAAATAATAAACAAGCAATGGTAGCCCAGTATTTGATTGGATTCTGGATCCTGTAATATTCTGTACATAGTCATGGTCATGTAATTATTAACAGAAATGTCTTATGTATTGTCCTTCCATCTATTAAAGCATCATTTTCTACTTAATATTAATATTAAGTGCAATGTTCCAGCAACATCTATAAGAATGTCAGGTTAAATTTAGACACTTTTACTGTTAGAATAAACTGTGCATGTACTGTATAATGATCATATTGTGTGATAAGGTTGGAAGAAGGTGGAGTGTTTAAGTATTAATAAGAATGGAAAAGCAGAGAAGCCCATATATACTCTGTTGATTGTTATAGTTAACTCATTGATCATTTCAACTATGATTATACAAATGATTGAAGTGATATGAATCAATTCTTCTTCAGTTCCCAGGGAAGAAAATGTTTTTGTAATGCATAATAATAAGAACAGACTAATATATAATAGCTAGTTCTAACAGCAAACTAGCTCTCTTACAAGCAGAAAACTAAATGACCAGATAGTCAAGAAATTCAATGACCCTTTAAAATAATAAAGATTATCAAATAATGCTCATAATAATAATGCATTCTCAAATTATAGGGATGGTTTTTGACTTGATTTATGGCATCTGGACATCTCATTGTGAGAATGGGATAATAAAAACTGACACCCCCTCGTTTTCCCAAACTATCAAGCAACGTCATTATCAGATTACTCCGTACGACTCCTCCTATTGGTAGCCGTAGATAGTCTACAGATATAAAACTAACAATCAAAAAGTACTTAACTATATTTCATATTTCATGGAACGGTGATTTTCGTCACTTGATTTTAGCTGATTGGTATGTTCTTTCCGAATATGATACCCATCAGCCGTAAACATCATTTTGTTAATATTAATATGACTAAACTTATTATCTTATGAAAGCCAAATAAACCATCATTGTCTGTATCTTTGCAGCACTCGTAAACATTTGTGATACTCCTCTTTTGGGATATCTGAAACAACTGCCTGAATACCCCTTGTTTCTTATTTTACACTTTCAACATCTTTTGCCATGGATTTTATGTCTTCAGTGGAAAACCATTTATTCATGACAGTCCATTTTCGTTTTTACAGGATAGGCAACTACGGAAAACTGTTAAAGCTTGCACTTAACAGTAACAGAAAAAAAAAATGCAATTGTGGCAGGTTTTTTGTGTGATGTATGTAGTAGTACAGAAAATACAGACTTTATTGCAGATCCTTGAGACATATTAATATCGATATATTAATATCACCCATTTTGTCTCTCCCCGTAGAAAACCCTGCAAAATGGAAATAAAGTCTTACATTATTAAAACCCTGCAAAAATTGCAAGCGAAGGTTAACAACACCTCTCCATACTGTAATATTAAAGAAATTGCCCCTGCCGTTCTTACGAAATATATCGACGGATGGAATTACATCGCCAGCTTTGGACCAGGACCAAACGGGCCGAACTACGAAGACGACGCACATTTCTCGGCGCGACTCCGTTGTCGCCGTTCCAGATATATCGACGTAATTACGTCGCCAGCTTTGGGCCAGACAGGCCTCCCTACCGTATACGCGCTGAGCTGGCCAGCCAAAGCTGGAACAACGAGAGTAGCAAAGTCCGAACATACTTCTTATTTTTAAGAAGTATAATGAAGGGATTTATAGTCGCACGTCGCAGCCTACAACAGTGGTGAGCATAGTTTACACTATATCGTGATTAGTATTTATATTATTTGTTCTCATTTACTAAAAGTCAACTTGGTTTAATTCTGCAGAATAACGTCGTTTAAGAAATTCCTGCTGTGGGCTCTGGGCAGTGGAGAGTATTCCCGCCAGTGTATGTGGACTGGCAGGGATATAGATGTCAATATTGTGACGGCCGAGTCCGTCACAATCATAAATAGAATCGTTGTTTCGCCCTCGTTTGTTCTTTTCTTCGTTTCGTTCTTCGTTCTTATTCTTCGTTTTCGTATTTGACGTAAAAAAATTTTTCATTTAATATGCGGACATTTATTCCCATGATGTGTGTTAATTTACTTATACTTTACGACAAATACATACAGTCATTGCTTTTCAAGCATACCATGTAGTTCACATGCCATGCTATCACGTCATTCCAATTAACACACTGTTAGAAGATCCCGCATTTGCAATAAAAAATACTGTTAACAAAATAACTACTTACGTGCTGAACAGTCCCGAACCTTCACATTCACCCGGTCTCTTCGGTGACCATTAAGACAAAGTTCAAAGACCATTCATAAATCAAAAAATTCTATTGACGAGGACGTTCATTAGCTTAACAAAATATAGAATAATTAATGTTATATCAGGTATTATTATTATTATTATTATTAACGCATTTTCTCTATGTATGTTACAAAAAAACGTGGATCGTAGAATTAATAGTTTACAACACATCCCAACACTTATCTATATGCTCACATTAAACTTTGTTTATTTTTCATATTTTCTTTTTCTGGCTCTGTGGTAAATCAAGACAAACCTTCTCTTGTTTTTTCTTCGTGTTATCTTCCTTGTCCAACTTTTCCAACTTTGAAAAGTAAGCGGAGTAGTTTTTAAACCGTATCTTTTGATTTTCACTGAATTTTGCCTCTTTTTCCGTCGAGTGACTTTTTCCAAGGCTCGGTGGATGAAACTGTCTTCAAAACCTGCATAATAGATAAAGAAAAAACAAGCCTTAATTGCTTTGGCAAACATTTACTTTAGATTTTTCAGAGGTGCTTAGAAATCAATGGAACCAAATAGTAATAGTAATAGAGAAATAAGATTACACCTTTTCAGATTCAGTATAAAAACTTTAGGATGTGATGAAGACTTTGTGAACAGTGATTTATTGAATTTATTAATAGAGAGAGATGTATACAGAGTATACATCCATCACGAAACCAAAAAATTACATTAGAATCATTTTAAAAAGGAACAAAGTGAGAAATTGCTAATAGGTCTTTCGATTATTAATCAAAGGAATGGATTGTTCTATGATTCATGAAGAATGACGGCTTTGTTTACTCTATGTGAGATCATACTTACGGAATGGCACAAATTTAATTATATAATCGGTGACGCGGTGAGATTATATAATTTTCCGATCCGAGTATGAATCAATCGAACATACGCAATCGTGTCACATACGATGGACTATAAATAAAATAAAAACCGTTTCTCATGAAACAGTCTATAACTTTCATCTCCAATCTAAGCACTAATAACAAGGTCGTATTATACTCCACGATGTCAAAGGGAAAATCGCATATGACCACGCAAGATGCGGCTCGCATCCAGTCCTCGGAAGCTCGCGCGCACGGCGGAGGGGTTTCATCGGGCTCCTTTGCTGCTAGGGCACAATCAGCAGCAGCCCGTAATGCAAGTACTGGAAAAGTTTCCGGCGGCGGATCTAAAGGAAGTGGCGGTAGGAGCGGAGGGCATCAAGGAAGTCGCAGCGGCGGAAAGCGCTAACAAACAACGCGGATGCGTTATGTTCGAAAGTGTTTGAAGTGCTCTTGTACGTACGTATATATTGGGAAGCCATGTATTGTTTTAGTTGGCGAATTTCGAACAAATGTATTTATTAGCTTTTCATTATATAGATGGAGACGCTCATCCTCCAAGTCTCAGTTATTCGTGAATCTTTATTCGCCTTTTGTGTGATATTCAAATATTTGGCTTACCCACGATAGACAATTAAGAATTCGTTATGTTGTATGTCTGTCGCTCAAAAATAAAGACAATAGCTTAGCTTTGTGGTAGCATGAAATGTCTTTTGTCAATTTGCTCGCATTTGGTTCCCCACTTGTTTCTTCGTTGATTCGTGTCGTAGCAATTGCAAATGGTAGCTTCGTCAGTGTATCCCAAAAAAGGGTGTGGTCCAACGACGATCAACATACGATCACATGGCATAACCAAATGTTTATTTGATATACGATGTGAGGCAATGGTGGTACAGACTTTTGGCGAGAATGCCGCTTGCAAGCCCTATCAATTTCCCAAAATGGCTCTCTGAACATGAACACCTTCTCCAACCGCCTGTGAATAATTTTTTGTTACAGCGCGGCGATTTCATAATTATGGTCGTTGGGGGACCTAACGCCAGAACCGATTATCATATCAATCAGACGGAGGTAATTTGACTAGAAAGCGGGTAATCAACTATTTCTCTCGAGTATGGGATAGTCGACTGACCATTTTATTATAAATGGGTGCTTGCGTTTACGATAGGAATGGTTTTACCAGTATAAAGGTGATATGCTCCTAAAGGTGGTGGATGGTGGTGAATTCAAAGATATCGCTATTCGGGAGGGCGATATGTTCCTGCTTCCGGGTAATCCAATCTTAAATTTGCATGAAAGTTTTTGACATCCGCAACATAAACTTAAACATGCTTTTAATTACGTGTTAGCCAACGTTCCTCACAACCCTGTGAGGTTTGCTGATACTGTCGGAATTGTTATTGAGAGAAATCGTAGCTCGGATGAGATTGGTATGTTTACGATTTGAGCACGCTTTCGTTTTCACCTAACTCACCCTATAATCTGACTACGACAATATAGATAAACTTAGATGGTATTGCTCAGCCTGCAGATCCATAGTCTATGAAGAATCGTTTCATTGTTATGACCTTGGCACACAGTTGAAACCGATCATTCAAAAGTATGCTAGTGATGAACTCTTGCGAACTTGCAAAGGATGTGGGAATGTCAATGAAGCCAAATAAGCAACATGTTGGTGATGAAGCCCGTGGAAGAGCTAAGGATTCTGTTGTCGCCGTTTTGTTTTCGTTTGAGAGTCGGGTATCGTGGATGATACAAAGTCTCTACTGATTAGCATTTTTCACCAAATTTATTCTATTCTTTCAAAGATTGTTAATTTAACACAAACATAAATTATTGTAATGTCCGTCGAATATAAGTGCGCACGGCTTGCTCTATAACATTCTCTACGATAATTTCGTTTATTCGTGATTACCCGGATGGACGTGATGATCCCGAAGTATTTCCCTTCCCTGTAGAATGTCGTTCTTTCTCTTTTTCCTGCTGTTCAAGCTTCTCCCACCCTAACGTTCAAAAGGTAAAATGGAAGTTGCATCAGTACAAAGAAACACGCTATAGATAAATAAGTTGGATAACGATATCTACATTCAAGCTTTTCAGTCGGACGTCTATTGTCGGCTGCTTGTTCTCGTCGACGAGCATTTATTTCTTTCTTTGCAAAATAATATGCAGCCCCACCGGCTAGTTCAAAGAGTAAGATTAAAATTAAATGCATTTCTCAGCAGATAATGATTGTAACAGATAAAGAGATAATGTGGAATCGAAGTTTATACCTATTATTAACGAAACCCTGAAAGAGGAAAAGTACGTGAGATCGGGATAAGGCAAAAGTTTGAAGAATCCTTCCCCCATCTACTCACCATCCGATCGCAACAGAATTGGGTGTGTTCATTATTGATCAAAATTTCTTATGTGAGATACTTGTTCGTCGAAAGAAATGTGTCAGGCAATATTAATAATCCCGTGATCTCCCGAGGATCTACCAAAAAAATGACCGTGATCTCATAGGTTCTTCCTTGAAAAGACTGTAGACATTCCCAGATCAGGCAATCTATGATTGATGGAGTTTATGGCTCAACGGGAAGATGACTTCAGTCCAGAAAAATGTATCCGCTCAGATACTACTATACGAAAAGGAATGAAAAATTGAAAGGAAGTGCATCTCTGCACAACTTGATACTCGATAATATACTCGGGTTTAATATTTTTAAGGTGGTGCTAATTTAACTATTTAATGTTTCCAGGCGGGCTCATTTATGTCAAGCGCATTCGAACAAAAAATAAATCGGTTAGGAATACCGGGAAAAGCGTCATATCAGTTACATAAGGTAATAATAAATAGTATTTGCAAATATCTTATGTTTTATTTGGCAGACAAGATATCCATCACTTAGTACAGATAAACCTGTTCAATCTCCTGATCAATAAGATTGAAACGCTGCACTCATCTGCTCAGTAAAGGATTCAGATGTCTACTAAACACGGCATAAACAGAAGACTCGTACATTTACAGGATAAGCATTTTGCCACAGAACCCCTTGGCCGATATGCGAATTTTAGAGATACATGATAATAACGCGCTTATGTTCATCCTCCTGAGTGATTATGCTTATTCCCATATTGTGCCAACAAAAACTGGATCTCAAACATAGTACTGGAATGGAAATTATTTGAGAAATCAAAGGTTTTTGGATGATGGTCTCTGTATGTGGCTTGTGTCGCCAGTGGAATACAGTAGACTTTACCACGAAAAGAATGAAAAGAATGATATCAATCAACACAGCTAATTCTTTTACGAGAGAATGTGGGTGATTATGATGATTGTTCCAGTTTCTTTATACAATCTATCTAGTGGTAATACTAATGCCCTGGATCAATCTTTAGAAATTGGACGAGAATAAAAATTACGCTTCGTCTCCCTACTCAATATGCCTCGTTTGATTGTGCGCATGAACCTCTTCTAATCTGGGATTTAGTATTTCATTTGGTAATAACAGCCAATCACCAACCGACATCTCCACGTCATCAAAGCTTGTGAATCAACGAGTGACATTATAACCTTGGCAATATCGTATTGGATTTGGAAAAAGGCGAGCGCATGCAACCGCAGCTTCACATAGTGCTAAAGGTTGCTACCTAGAAGCACAGAAGATGAGTTTGGAGATAATTGCTTTAGATATCGGGACACCAGTTTACTTATGGATGGGCTATGATATTAGAGCGACCATCGTGTCGTACATTGCGGTAATTCTTACATAGAGCTTTATGAATTGTTTGTCTTTTGTTAATTCTCTTCTTATCCTCCCATAGATTAAACCCCCGAGAATTTGCCTTATGAAGACACCATACTCATATCTTTCGTGATCAAAAGTGTGTGCGTTGGTCTCGGTCACATGAAGGAAACCAATGATCGCTCAAGTGTCGAAAGTGGGAGTGCCGCTCGACGTGCAGTTCGGTGCGGTTTTGACGTGCTGTTCGGTACATCAGCGACAGGACTCGTTCGCGTCATCTTTCTTTTCTTTAACTAATATGTTGTCCCCCGTATGCTTAAAGCAATGTATCAAAACGCTCGAAACAGATGGGTGATTTGAATATAAGTCTTACAGCCGTTACTTTACTATGGAACGTATCGAACGCAAAGAGCAGATTAGAAAAGATTGCAGGTGGACCATGATATACCACTTCGATCCGCGACATCGAACAAATTATTGAAAGATCTTAACCCAAGAACAACCATTGCATTATGAGTGTTATTATTGCGCAACTAGCCAGTATTTGCTCAGACTCTCGGCCAGAAGTTAGCGAATCAGTTTAGCACACTTGTGTTTGGCGAGTTTTATTTGCGTTGTTGGATGCTGTTAAACTTGCATCGTTACGGGCCGATAGCGCACTTCATGACTAGAGTGCAGATGCGATAAAAGCAGAAATCTAACACCCCTGTAAGAACTAAAACGTTAGTTCATTTCACTGCTTATCGATGGTATTACGCGAGTGATGAATCATCAATGCACTCATATCCCTCGAAGATCTATCGCCACTCTTTACGATATATTGCTGCATAGCCTTAACGCGTCTATCAAGGTTTTAAATACTTATCCAATGTCCAATCACGATGCAAGAAAATCTTGCTTTTCTTACCAAAAACTAATGGTTCATTTTTTGGGGGCAATTTTCTAGGCTTATTTAGGAGTATATGTGGGTTAAAAGAGGATCCAAAAAGACCCCAAATTTTAATCTGCCACAATAAATAATTTACTCTATATTTTTCTTACATATTCAAATGATCAAAGACAGTTAATAGTAAACGTGCGCGATTTATTTCAGAATCCTGTTACTCAACCATATTGACATGCATGGAAACATATCGTATTTGAAAAAGGAGCAAATCCGTGAATTACAAGTTAATTCAAAAAAGAGTTTGAGTCTCTAAATTATAAAAAATGGACGATGTTAACATTGTAAATGACTTCATTTGTATCAACATATAACCCTACCTGCGGCTGATTCCAAATCATAACTATTTCTTGGTTTAGGTAATTCTCCTGTAGGTAAGAGCTTACTAGAGTATTTACTTTCCTTTTCGAGACGTGATAAGAGTTGTACATTATTGTAATATTTGGTATACCACGTTTTGTCACCAGAATTGTCTAAAATCTCTAATCCATTCTTCAGGATCTTCTCCAGCTTTTCCGTAAAATAGGGGTAGTGCGTAACCTGGCATTCCTCTATATTGGTTATTTATAGGTTGATTATTCTGAAGTGCAAAAATTTGTTGATTCAAATTCAAAATTAATTGCTGTGAATTGCGCTCCCTATTTTTCCATTTGATATGACTTGCCTTCCGATCTTTGAATTTATTGTAATATCTATCAAAGAGCTGATCTCGATTATATTCTAATAATCCTTTATCAGCCTGACATTGTTGTAGCTCCTGTTCTAAGCGATGAATAAATACCTTGTAAATAATTTCAAGAACACATTTGAGTTTTGACTGTTCATTCCATATCAGACTTGCATTAAACCACAAACGCCCTTGCAAATTATATCTTTGTTGGCTATTATTAAGATCTTGAGCAAATTGATTGACACGATTCTGCAAGGTATCTCGTTCTGGTATAAGTTGGTTGACATAGTTTTGCAAGGTATCTCGCTCCTGAATAAGTTGATTGGTTCAATTCTGAAGGTTGGCGTCTCTAATGCCTTGTATAATATTAGTAGGATTATTTAATGGTGTACCACCTCTAAGATGATTTTCAATATGATTCAAGCCTCGATCGATTTGTATAAAAAGGTCAAGATTCGCCATATCTGTATCTTCCTCTTCCGAATTATATAAACTTGGAGAGCTTCTCCAGGAAGAAATAACTTGAATCTATACCTCAGATTTTCCATTTTCTCATAACATTCTTGCAACTGCTGTTCCAGATTAGCATTATAGGATTTGATCCCCTAACCTCCTTTGTGGCTTGGTATAAGCTTCTTTTAAGGGACGATATCTCTGATCTCAACTCTGGCTTTTCTTCCTCTGAAGCATCCTCGAGCTGTTCCAGTTCTTTATTGAGAGATTGGATTTCTTTCTCACATCTGATATATTTGCGCTCCAGCTCATTTATGTATTTCTCATTCGACCTATTGATTGAAACTTCATCATCTCTCAAAGCTTGATTTACCTGCTCCAGTTCCAATTCCCGATTAGACGCTAGCCCACGAGATATTCGATTGGGATGTGGTCGACGAAATGTCATAGCTATTTTTATTATAGCAAAATATATTGGTGCAAAGTAAAGGCATAGCCAAAGTGAGTATACCTACTATTACTATATATATAGATCCATATGCTGAGGTAGCTATAGTTTGTCGTACACTCTATTATAATATTCCCGGGTTTTTTATGATAATCAGAAAAGGGGGAAAGTGTATTTACACACCCTGGTGCTGATAGACGTGGCGACAAGATTTAAATGTGCAGTAGCGTTGACGTCAAAGAATAGTTTAGAAGTTTGGAACGCGATCGAAAAAAATATACAATGATCCCAAAAATCCTCTCACATGGCCGGCATTGTTGATGGTAGATGGTGCAGGGGAGTTCAAAGGAGCATTCTCTCGAGGGATGGAACGTTATAATGTTCCTATAAGAATTGTTGATCTTTACAGTTTCGAAAGTTTAGCATTGGTTAAAAAATTCAAGCAGATTTGGCGAGATATATATATATATATAATTCAATATGCCATAGAGGGCAAACTCAGAGGAGGTGAACGTTCTAAATTATGGAATAAGATACTTCAGAAAATTATCAACTATATGAATAATAATAAAACGCGATTAATAGGCATGTCACCATCATATGCAATGACATTGCGGGAAGTGATTCCCAAAGTAACTATCAAACCTAAAAGACCTATTGGGAAAGATGAACCACGATTACAAAAAGGAACGACTGTAAGATATTTATTAAAACCAGGTGAGTTAGAAGGAGGACACATGCATAGAAAACTGACCCGTACTTCTCATTGCGTTTATATAAGATCGAGAAAGTCATTGTAGGTAAGAATCCACCACAGCCAGTCTTATATTATCTTGAGAATGAGCCCATTAAATCTACAGCTCATTTTATGGGTCACAATCCACGTCGACCATTCAAGCGAGAAGAACTCCAAGTAATCGAGAATCCTGAAGAAGTTGAGTATCCACCTGATGAATTTATCATCCCTCTAGATCGATACATTTCATTCGTATTTTCAATAAAGAATTCGACAGCGTGCAACAATATGCCAGGAAACGTAGTGGAAGTATTTTAGCAAGAACTGGCCAACTTAATGATCAGAATGTATATCTTTGGTCATGTGAGAATGGTAAACATAAATTCGAGTACCCATATCCATTGATAGCTACAAAATTCGAATGGTGCCCAATTTGTCTACATTTCAAAAGTGAGCGTTCTGCAAGATATATTTTTGAGGATCTACTAGGTAAGAAATTTCCATCTTGTAAACCGTCATTTTTGAATGGGATGCGGTTAGATGGATGTAACGAAGAATTAAAATTGGCATACGAATTCCAGGGGCCTCAACATTTTTCGGAGAATCCAATGTTCCATAAGCGAGGCAAGATAGACTTAGATAGTCAACAGACGCGCGACCAAATATATGTAAAAGAGAGGGTATAGATCTTATCGAAGTGCCTTATACATGTGATTTATTTTCCTATATCAAAAGTAAATTGCAAGAGAGGGGTTATTTATCGCATAAAGAATAAATTTGCAAAGATAACCATGGCATATAATAAACTTCATCTACTTGCTTTGCCTGAACTTTTAACTAAAATTTTCTCATACCTTGCTATAGATAAATCGCTATACCCGACTTTATTTGTTAACCGGTTATGGTATGTTCCGCCCCAATATTATGGAAATGAGTCGAATTCGTTGGCAATGGTTACAAAAAAGTTCCTAGCTACTGGGGGAAATTCAAAGAAGTAATACATACACAAAAACCTATCTTTATTTTTAACTGATTTTTGTAATTCCAGATGTAAAGTCTCTAGTAAAACCTTATATCAGATTAGAGATCTGTGTCCAAACTTGCGTCACCTAACTATAAGCAACTGCCATGGGGTTTCTTCCAAAACGATTGGAAAAATTGTACATCCAAATTTAACATATCTTAAATTTCGTAATAATACAACGGGACCTCATAAGCGTCATCATCATATCAGAGATAAAACAATTTGTGAGATCGCATTATCGTGCCCAAATTTAATCTATCTCCATTTGGGATATAGTACTAACATCTCTGATATTTCAGTTATAGAAATTGCTAAGTCGTATCGAAAGTTAGAATATATCAATATAGGTGATATATCATTAAAAGAAATTGCTCACCTATGTCCAAAACTTCAACATATCCACTTGATCGATTGCGAAAAAATAACAGATGAATCTGTTTGTACAATAGCGCAATTCTGCTCAAAACTTGAACAGCTTTATCTCGAGGGATGCGACATTACTAATGTGTCTATATCTGCATTAGCAAACTTATGTAGCAATCTTAAAGAACTTAATATTAAGGATTGCAAGAAAATTAATACAAATGCAATTGTAACCTTGCAAAATAAAAATCCTGCTCTTGATATTATCGGTTGGTATCCAGATGCGAATAGTGAGTCGGGTATATCATTATAAAAAATTGGATAAATCACTGACACATATATGCAATGAAGATCATTATTTTTCAGGTATAATAATTAGTGACTTTCTTGATTAATATGAAAATAGAAAAGCTAGACCCTGTTGAGAGAATAGTTTTAAACATCGATGAATATAATAATCCAGAAAGATTTAACTCCTTAAATAGTACGCCCAATTACAATGGCCTTTTAACTTATTAATTAGTGGGAGAACCAGATCAGGAAAAACTGATAAAGTTATCATCCTTTTACTTGGGAACAAGATGTATCGATACTGTAAGCGGGGCCAAATTCGATTCATCCATTCGGTAGGAGTCTCATTCGATGAAACAATACCCATCTCTAGATATTTCATCCCATTCAGTATCGGTACAATTGGTTCCACATCTTTCACTTAAGCTAGCCATTTTATATAACTTATTTGTAGTGTTTATGGAAGTTGTATGTGATTTATATCGAATTTAGGGGTTTAGACCTATTAGATTTGGTTCTTTATAGTATAAGTTAAAGAATATATCATTCATTTTTAGTGCGGATTGTGTTATTAGATGAGTTGTGTATATTCGTCATATTTTGCGAGCGATGTATACGATGAGAATGGGAGAGATGCATATTGGGTTGTAGCGAGAATTGTAGTTTAGAGTTGATTCTAAAGAATTTATTTGTGGCGGTATTTATGTATAAATTGCTCGTATACTGTGGATATATTATGATCTATTTTTGACATGTGGATAATCGTTGCATGATCTATTTCGGGTGTAGAATCTATTTCGGGTGGGACCTATTTCGGGTGTATTACGAAATAGACAATCCGAGATATTTTTTCTTGTGTGAATAAAAATCATGTATGCGTGACGAATTGTCACGCCGATCACTTTTGCCGGAGCGAAATTTCCGATATATCTAGCTACTAGTAATAAAATCGATTGCGTAACACAGATGTTCGATCAACATATCACATGACTTTAAAGTTCTAAAAAAACCCCAAAAAATCACATGACTTAAGACGATCACCGGAAAATTTTCTGCCGAAAAGTAATGGGAGGATACACGCATTGTGCAACAGAATACATTTCTCACTACAAATTTTGTAAACGAATCATGTTAGTGCCGATCCGGAATTGCTCATTAGCTGATAGTTCATTAACCGTAATATTTTGCCCAACATGAATGTTGTTTTGCGTTCGAATTTATAGCACCTGGAAATGTGAATCATAATAATGCTGATCCAGAATTGCAAAACACTAACAAGTCATGTTTCATTTTATATTTATTAGCCAGATGCTAATTCATTAATTGCAATAGATTTGCCCAACTAAAATATTGTTTTGCGCACGAATTCATAATGAAGCGACGAATTGGCTTTCTAAGGATTATACACAAAGAAATGAGCGAGATTTCACTTCATCCTCCATTCGTAGCTCAAGTGCCACCATGAACTCTATAAAACACGTCACTTTCGTAAACGATATCCGCAGGTTCGTCCTTAGAACAATTTACAATACAACGCAAAATGCACGTAATTGCATTACAACAGTCACATATTCCTTGTTCTGCAAGATCAAACCGTGAAATTACCCAAAACATAATACGCAAAAAATGTTCTCAAACAATTCAGATTGTTTCGTGCTCGTCGTGTTCATGCTATTATACCTAAATACTCGAAGAGTGGAAAACCGTATAACTGCGGAATTGTCTGCTATCAAAAGATCACGACGGCGAAACTCAATCGCTAATACCGAATTGCTACAAAAAATCAACAATCTCGAAAGCCTAATGGGCTACGAAGTTCGCGACATCAAAAATGGTGTTGGCAGTCGCGACAGTAATTTCGGCTCTCGAGATTACACTGGCGATATTCAAACTCTCTGGCAAGATTTCGATCGCCTATTCAAAGAAAAACGTCGACTAGAGAAACGAACTGAGCCATCAATGTATTCCAAAATTTCAGAAGAAATAAGGGAGTTGGGCCAGCGTCTTGGAGATGGAAATTGCACAAACGTTTAACCCGTAATCCCGCAGATGAAACCATAGAATTTATTAGGCTATGGGTAGATAATGAGAGGGAGTTAGATACAGAGGTAGAAGCGGAGGAGAATAGTGATAGCGCTGGACCTAGCGGGACGAGTAGTCGTCGCCTTCGGGCAAGCTTTGGGGCTGACTTCCACTGGTGCACCAGTTTTCCCTCCCATGCAGTCGCGCTAGGTCCAAGCCTTTTATATTATTGAGGGGTATTTTTTATAATAAAATGATTCTCAAAATCGTGTTCTTATGTTCTTATGTTCTTATTATTATTTGTTTGTGGCTTGGGTCACCTGATAATTCTGATGAATACACATTCGCACGTCGCGTCATGGCAATATGTAAAAAATGGCGAATGTCTAACCACTCTTAAATACTGTGGTAAGACAAACTGTGGTAGTAATTTCTTATGACAATACTGTAACCTTTTGTCCGCGAATATATAGCCTTTTGGCAGAACACAAATACTCCCTCCCTCAAGAAATTTTTAGATTTCCGACACTGATTTGGAAGATCAAGAAACAGAACATCGCCGATACGGTCTTGAACTAAATAATATTATTGCGTACTATGATGAAACATCTGAAATTGGAAAAAAAGTGCTAAAATGGAAAGAGGCTTTTCAGGTTATACTTATTTTTTGTTTGGGCTGTTTCACGGGAGAAAGGCTGTACTTGTACTGTTTCAACGAACTACCTTGTGAGTTGCTTGCTCGCACGGACACCTTATTAGTTGCTTACTCGTCCGTGGTTAGTTTTCGGATTGTTTATTCGCACAGACACCCTGTGAGTTGCTTACTTGCAGGGCAAAAGTTGCTTACTTGTCTGTGGTTTGGTCATGCAGTATGACTTTGCATGCTGTGTTTGGTTAATTTTATATTCTGTTTGATTAATTTTATAATCTGCTTTTCTATAAAAAGAATGATAAAAAGTCTAGGTCAGTAAAACTCTTTGGAATCTACATGAAATTCTTGCGGAATCCGAGATACTTGATAAAAAAGCCCAAATGCAGTGGGTAGGTTGTCTTTACAAGAACCATCACTAAGGCTATTATTTACTAACTCTTTTATTTTTGGTTTTTAGAAAAACGGGATGGTAAATTTCGAAGGAATAGGTCTCCGCCATCTTAAAGAAGCTTCGTCAGCGGTACAAGAAAAACAAATTAGTCCAGAACTGAGACAAGTCCCGAACTGAGGTACAACACACAAAAACTAATTGTTCACTGAAAAATAATAACTATCGATTGATAGTGAAGCTTCACCGCCAGGTGAGCCAAGCTCGAATGTACATACATTGTGTATCAATTCTAATTTTCTATAGACATCAAAATTTTTTATCAATTCGACGTGTATTGACTAGCCATGGGATATATAATAAGTAGAAATATCATATTCACTATCTAAAATTTTAAATCGCTAAATTATAAAACAATGAAATATGTTAACCTATTTCTGAACTTGGCAAACTGAAATCTGATAGCGGAGGAAAATTATTGCTGTTTCTTGGTTTAGGCAAATCTCCAGTAGGTAGGCGC